AGATATCTGTATAGGCGCAACGGAGATATCTATATTAGAAAATAGATACGTGGCGATAGATACGTGGCGATAGAAAGGCACGGAACAATTAATCGTGATGGACGTAGCGTGGTGGCAACATTGTCTATATAATGCTCGCTAGTATCCGTAGATAGAGGAGATCAGCGATTAGCTTTGAATAATAAAGATTACTACCTTTTAAATATCCTTTGTGCGTACTTCACACTACTCTTATAACTATTCCTATCTCTTACAATATCTTAAGCAGTTAAGCAGTTAAACAGTACAGAGTGAAAGAAAAAGAATAATGATGATTCTGAAACAGAATAATGAAGAGGCTGAGGAAGCTGATCTCTTATCAACTCAATATTAAAGATTGATGATCAGCACTTAAAACAGTTTATCATTGTCTTTTTCATCACTGATTAGAGAATATAATTTCTTTCATACATCAAGAATATCAGTAGAGCTTTAGATAAGATGACAGAGAAAAAATGAATATCATATTAAATCATATAACAATTCAACAACAATATGTTAAAGATCTTAATCTGATGTATTGAACATGTTTGAATGCACACAGATGAATCAGATGACTTCAAATTGAAAAATAAATGAAAAAACTGATGAGATAAATCATCAATCAATCAGAGAACTGCACATCCACAAATGCCAAGTCAACTGCCAACCAATCAGAAGGGGCTTTAGCTGCACATTCATCAGAATACATGCACTACCAGGCCCGAAAAGTACATATAGATATACTTGCTATGTTCTGGCAAAGATAACAGAAAGGAATCACATCGACTTTTACATCTATTTCTGAGAATTCTTGAGCCCAGAGTTACCCCTCTAAATCAGCTGCAAACATATAATAACATCTCTCTCGCGTTTTCAAGCCCCAGCAGATACCAAACAAAGAAACCCATGTAACTTAAATTTATACCGGAGCCTCCCAAAGAAGACGACTTACCCGACCCGACTTAGCGCGGCGGCAAAGCGGGCCCACACAAGCGCTCGCTAACCACAGGCTAACTACTTCCCCCAAGCGAAGCAATGTACGGAGTAGTGGACATGTAAGTATGCAGCACATGTCTTGGAGGTTGCTCCATGCTCCAGCCTTCCAATTGACGACATGTTTGTCCACAGAACCTTCTTCTTCATCCAGCTCATCAGCTATCCCCGTCCTACCAATCAATTAATTGCCTCTTCCAACGCCACGAGATGACGCAACCCCAATGATTGATTGGTTTTTGTCTCAAGTTGTCTCCGTGGATTACCTCGGTCTGGCGTTTTTATTCTGGCATGCAATGGGATTGATTGTGAGCGTATGCATGATGAACCAATAACCCGAAAGAAGTTTTTTTTGTTTTCTCTTTCCTCTTGTAAGTTGGCGATAGGCCATTCGCATCCACAATCATACCAACAGCCCAGATTCCTTGCCGTACAAAATTCCACCGCGCGGATTCATCCTCTTGCCCCCACCAGGGAGTGAACACATCACAAATGCCACGCTTATCCAGAGCAGCAGCTAGCTAGATTTTTAACCCATCCAATGCGTAATCGGCACAGCGCCCGTTCATCTGACTCAGAGTTTCAGTAGTTATTTCTGCACCATGTCGTGGGCGAGTGCTGCATGGCGCCAAACGGAGACGTCTGAGAAGGGGTGGCTCTTCCGAATCGGTCCATGTTTATATGGGAAGAATTATGATACATTTGTTTCTCCTGGTCCCGCTTCCATTGGTTTTAACAGTTCTTCAGTGGTATGTGCTGTACAGCGTTTTAATTTATGTTCCAAGCCGGGTTTCACCAATTCCAGAGCCTTTTAAAATCTTCTCCATAGATATTACTATCCAAGCTGTTGCCGCTAGCTACGAATGGCAGGAAGTTAAATAAATGGACCGGTGAGCTGTGACTTAAGCCATTGGTCAAAGTCATTGGTTTCCCAGATAGTTTTAAGATTGGCATGAAAGAACATGATATTGTCCTATAGGAGACCTGGCTAAGCATGATATCGTTACTTTCCTGGCTATGTACATATACTATACAAATTCCTTGCCTGACAGGAATATTCTCCCACTGTTAGGTTTATCATTTTCCTTTGAGCAGAGAGAGGTACAGAGTAAGGGGTGAGTCGCTCAAGGCAATGCATATGTATTATTGCTAAAATGCCATCCAACAAGACCTTCAAATCCTGTAAGTCACTGGAAATTTATAGATGACAAAATGCTTGAAGAGATGTATTAATGAAAGCTAACAAAAGCAAAGATGTTGTGTGCTGTTGTTTCTGATAATGAACTAAATTGTCACGTTTTAATAGAGCATCATATGAACTAGGCGATAGCCAAAAAACATGGGGTACTCCCAGAGCAGCCTGTGAGTGTGTTAGCTAAATGTGATACCAGCTAAGGGCTCAGTATGTGGAGCAGACTGATAAATATCCCATGAAAGAAGCGTGTTGATTTCAAAACAGCACAAACAACATTCAGCATACTCCTGGCGGACCAAATTCAGGATAGCATCCCTGCCGGCCGATGTACCGATACCGCACATCAGCCTGTGCATACCCGAACCGGGCAGATACCAATACAAACCAGCAGATATTCGAGCGAAAGACCATTGGCATTAATTACGTGGTAAGCCACTGTACCGTTATCTGGCCAGGTCCAGCAAAAAATATTATCCGGATCCATTCGAGCAAAGCATGCTCTTCTAATCGAAACAATGACGTATAAACAGGTGAACCAGAACATCACCTCTTCCCAGACACGCAGGAGCCTCCCAAGTTGTCCTGAGAGTGGAAGGCTGAACGCAGGGTTATCAAATATTTATGTTTAATTCGCCCCGTCATCGGTTTGCCAACCATGGAGAGATGCATCCCTTGCAACCGGAAATTTAAGAGCACACACCATCTCGAGCAGCACATTCAAGATTCCCCAGTTCACTCTCAGAGGTACGAATGCCGCAGCTGCAATCGATCCTTTAAAAGCGAAGCGGCTCTCAGCAGCACATTCAAAACTCCACAGCTCATTCTCCGGAGCATAACCCAAACAGCCGCAACAATTCATTCAAAACTGACACTCACTCCCACAAGGGGAGATGGTCCATGTATCCGACGCACCACGAGAGTGTATCAAGCCTGCTGCAAGAGGACGATCTGTATTTCGATTTCCACGACGTTGACAGAGCCGCAGGATGTATCAACGAGTACGATACAAACATCATGGGCAAATTCATCTGCGACAATAAAACATGCGGCACAGACGGGTGGTCAAGCAAAAGAATTGCCATCACCATAAGAATGTACCCCAGGGAGGAATACAATGCGAGGGTATATCATCAACGCTGCGACGGCTGTGGCAACCTCAGCAGACCTGTCTTAAATGAGACCTATGCTGAAAGGATTGTGTATCGTATCAAAAAATGGAATGGGATTGCGGTGGATTCAGTCCCTTATTCGTCTATGAGACAAGGCCCCCATCATACTGATCTGTGTGAAGGGTGCAAAGCGGGCCATTGCAAAGCCCTTGCATGAGGGGAAACTGGTTCGATACACCAAATTGATGTTTTTTCCTATGTCGTCCCTGGTCTGAGATCTGGTGCATCTCTCTGGTGTGTATGTTTCTGGGATTACGGAGCCAGCATCTCGTGTGAGGCAGGGTGATTTTGCTTCATTATTATAACTTCTCACAGATCGACCTGATGAAAACAAAATGGGTATTTGTTAATGTTGTCGTTAGTGCTGTTCAAGTTATTTGAGGAAGAGGGAGAATGATTTCAGACTGTAGCTTCGAATCCACTGCACAATCAGAACTAACACTCCCGCGAACATCTCAAGGGAATGAATTCCTTGCTCTGAAACATTGTGTCCTCACATACCAGGGAACTTTCGTTGATAGGGTTTTTGTTGTTAACTTTGATATTGCAGCAATGTTTGATTGGCTACTTCTCCACCAGAGCCCCTCCTATGTGCATCCCTGCTTCGCCTGGATAGTGCTTTCAGGGCCACCACTTAGTTAGCTAATAAACGGAGCATGGTTGCTTTGGCGGGTGAGAAACGCAGTGCATTCCGGCAAAAACTACTGTACTGTACATACACAATGTGAGCTGATTGAAGACCCCCCAAAACACAACAACCAATCGGAGTTTTTGCAGTTGATTTAGAGTTTGTTCTCTGATATATACTAGCACTATCTGTGTTTGTTGCTCTCTATTCCTTTGAACTCTCGAACCACTTTTCTTGTAGATCAGAGCTATTCCGTAAAGTGAACAATAAGCCCATGTATCTCTAGTCGTGAAGTTTGTATTTTTACCGCAGGTTTGCTCAACGGCGAGCGGGAGCGTAACACTCTTAAGTTTTCAGACCTAACTACAAGCCAAACCGATAGAAAGATCTTTGAATTTTCCTTTTTCTTCAAACGTTTTCCTTTGTTCGCTCGAAAAGAAAATAAATGCAAAAAGCAAACAGAAAACTTATCGAATAATAAAGAATAAGCGAGAAAAAGAAAAAAAAAAAAGAAAAAAAAAAAAAAAAAAAAAAAAAAAACTCGAGCTCACCAACAAATAATAACCTTGGTTGTCGGTTGATATCCGGTTAGGGTGTTCTCGCTTTCGCCACACGCTGCAATTGCTGCATTCGACCGCCGGTGGAAATCGCCGGGAAGTCTAAAAATAAATTTAACATCTAACAACTTTATTCATATAATAAATAGTTCATATTCTCTAAATGACGCGTCGATCTCCATTCAATGTACAGAATACTACTAAGCACTAAAAACGCCACAATTTTCACAGTGTAATTAGTGAAGTCTTCCTTCCTTATATTCATTGCCACCTTCTAACTCTATAACCTTCTTAATATGAACAGGAATCCGCTCTATCCAAGCCTGAATCTGCTCCTGTGGTAGATCCCTCCATGTTCTTTCCCATATTGCTATAGCTGCTGCCCGGTTCTGTGGAGCTCCTTTGACAGTTGTTTTTCGTTTCATCCAGGTCCAAGCAGGTTCAATCGTATTGAGATCTGGGGAATTCGCACACCAGAGCATCCGTTGAATGTGATGAATCTCATATATATGACGTTGGATATAGTGATCATGAGCAGGAGCTCGATCCTCCTGGACAATGGTATTTGGACGTTCCTTTTCACACTCATTGGCAAAGGGAAAGAGCTTTGGAAGAAGGATTTTGACATGATATCGATACCAATCAATTCCATTACTTTTGCCACGGGATAGCTTGCCTGTCTCTTTCTTCCACTTCCATATTGGTTGAGGTCCTGGCAGTTGACGAAGGTTTAAACATCGTATTCCATTTTGAAGCTCCCATTCTGCTTTCTTGATTGGTTCCATCATTTCATTAAGAGAATCTATATCCTTTACTGACTGAGCCTTTTCTTGAGCAGTTTCCGGACTCCAGCAGTGACAGGGACCCTTTTTATCATATGAGAAACAACCCCAGAATATGAACTCTGAAGACCCCTTCCATCGCTCGCGTATGCAACTTCGAGAGAATCTTTCCTTGGAGGTTCTCCAAATTCGATATCCTCCACGGCGATGAAGCAATATAACAGATGTCTCATCTGACCATATAACTCTTTTCCAATCTTCTAGAGTCCAATCTTGATGATCTAGACACCACTGAAGTCGTTCATGTTTCATTTTATTGGTCAAGCCAGGTTTTCGAGTAGGTTTGGTCTTTTTCATGCCTGCTTTTCACAAGATCTTCCATACAGTGTTGGGTGCAATATTAAAGCCCTCCTCACTGAGTTCAAGAGCAATATCAGCACAGGATTTCTCCCGTCCATATCGATTTCAGCGCACCTTCGCTAATACTTGCTCTCAAATAGAAGAAGTCTGTTTTGTAGGTCTGCCACTGCGGGGGGCATCTTGAAGGAATTCATCACGGATAGTAAGATAGAGGAGATCAGGGTTGAAGCCACGTTCAAGAGCTCTGGCATATATACGGTTGATTTGGCGAGCAGAGAGATTTGTAATATTCATGATCTCAGTGGTAGTTTTTGCAATATAAGGTGATTTGAGAGCCACCACGAGCGCCCGAGTGGCGATATCAGTATTGGGAGCCATGATTGAAAGCAGCACTGATGATGAAAAGATAACAAACTGAGGCAATAGAAACTAGGTGGGAGCCTCTTATATTTTAAATGAGGGGTAGTTTTAATACATTTTAATACTGTGGTGGTGCTCACTATCTAATATAGCGGTTTTTTAATTATCTTGGCGAGACAAAATTTTTTGCAGCGGCTTCTGTACATGCAAAAATCTGGTCCAATTTGGAGGTAATCATTTTGCATTGATGTGACTTCTTTTACCCATCCACCCCCGATTCGATCAATTGTTGGTATGGATATCAAACTACTATCCGCTGAGGTATATAGGTAGGAGGGAAAAGATAGGGAAAACACTTAGATCGGCAAATTATATAGCTCTAAATGTGTGTGAGATGATATGGTGGGTTGGTATATTAGTTATCTCAGCATCCTTAGATGGATGTTTTCCTCTGGTACATGGATACACATACCCCAATTCTATGTATATCCAGCAAGCAAGAGTCTGCAAGGTCTTCATCTAGTGTATTCTTCAAGAAATGTGTATAATATGTGAATCGAGATCTCGCGCCAATGCAAAGCAAAATGAACCCACACAAAGATTCAAACACCTGTAAAACGTGAAGGCCGGTAAGTGATAGGGAAACAAAAGGTAGGTAGCAATTATCTACCCTCCCATCCCACCCCATCCGGACAAACTTCTTCTGTATGTCAAAGGAGATCAGTAGAAAGATATCCACCCGATAAATTAAAATTAAAACAACACCTCTTTCGCCATCTCCGTGCCAGGTTGTGTGAAAGGGGTGGGGGGGAAGATCCAAAAAGACTTAAAGCAAAATACACTTCTCCCGAACAAAAACATCCCTCAAAATCTCCACACTCGCCCTCGCCGCACTTTTCCTTTCCCCCAACCCAGCCGGAAACTCCACAACAGCCGCCCGCAACAGCGCCAGCCCAACATCCCCCCAAAACCCCACAATCCTCAATGCAGAGTGTCTCAGAAGCGCACTCAACACAAGCAAATGCGTATCCTGCACCTCGCCGGGCGGCACATTCAGGATATTCGCACACGCGCGCCAAAAGTGTGTGTTCGGCATGGGGTTCTTGCGCGTCGTCTTGGAGAAATTGCGGAGCGATATCGCCGCAAACCCGGCGCCGAGGCCGATCATGCGCTCCTCGTGCGTCTGCGGCGGTATGAAGCGGCGGCTGTCGTCGCGCTCGCGCCACCAACCGATGGCCTCTTTGCCCACGTCCGTCGCCTCGTTGCCGTAAAAACCCCACAGGACGGGGCAGATGGCATGGTACTTTGCGAGGAGCACGTCGATCATTGAGATGCCGCTGTAAGTGAAGGATTCCATGGAGAAGATCTGCGCAGTGAGGACGCCTAGGGGCTCGGCGTACTTTGGGGTTATGCCGGCTTCGGCAATGAGCTGGGCGATTATGGCCTTTGAAAAAATGTTTAGGAGGTAGAGGAGGAGGGCAGGTGCTTTAGTTTCAGCCTCATTGGTGCTAGCGGCAAGATATTGGGGAGGAAAAGCGAGGAACTCGCGTATGTCGACGGAGGGCTCGGTGAGGGCGAGGGCTTTCTTGAGGACTGTGGTTATTTCGTTGGTCTAGACATTTTAGTTTTGGCCGGGATTTTCACGGGCGGGTTGGTTAGTTAAAGAAGAAGGAAAATAACTTGTAAACGAAACGGGATACGTGTGTTGTGGCATACGAGGAGTTCGTAGGCCAGAACAAACTAGAGTGGTGGGAAGGTTCGAGGAGGTAAACTTACGGGAGTGCGGTTCGCGATCTTGTCATCCGCGACGAGTTGGCCGACGCATTTCTTTATAGTCCGGCGCATATCACCCATGTGTTGTTTCAGAATTGGATTCTTCTTCGTTTCACCTATCATATACCGCCGGAACTTCTTGAGATGCTGGTGAAGCTCGAGGTATCGCTGATGCTCCGCGATTTGCTGGGGAGTACGATGTGCAACCCCCCAAGATCTTTGCTGCTGCTGACGTTTCTTCTGCCTGCTGCTGTTGTTGCTTCCTTTTCTCCTCCGCGGCTTTGGCCTCGGCCTGCTCCTTCTTAGCCTCCTCCTGCTTCCGTTGTTCGTGCGCCGCGCGTTCCCGATCCCGTTTAGCCTTTTCTTCTTCCGCGGCCCTCCGTGCCCGTTCAGCCTCCTCAGCCTTCCTCCTCTTTTCCTCTTCCTGAGCTTTCTTCACAGCTTCTACTCGCGCAGCCTCCTCCCGCTCCCGACGCTCCCTCTCGGCCTTCTCACGCTCAATTTTTTCCCTCTTCTGCCTTTCCAACTCCTCTTTCCGTCTCTTTTCCTCCTCTTCGGCACGTAGATGGAGTTGCAATGTCTCCTCAGCTTCAAGCCTGAGAGCATCACGTTTGGCGGCTGCGGCTGTCAGGGCCGCATTATGTACCTCTTCTTTCTCTCGATCTAGACGGTCTAGATGCTCATAAAAGGATTTGCGCTCGTAGGCTCGTACTTTTTTGAGCTCATTGTTGTGTAGACGGACCTGCTCGAGGTCCCTTGCAAGCTCTAGGATAAGCTGTCTCGAGGGGCTATCCGGTTGGCGGGGGGAGTAGAGCTGTGGTCGACCCATGGTGACAGGAGCGGTGGAGGTGGGAGTGACAGCGGTGTTCTGTTATATAGGCCAGCGAATGTCCAATGGAGCCTCTGTATATGATGCTTGACAAGTTGATAACTACAGGCCAGTAAATCTGTAATTAGCAAAATTGGAAAAGAGAGTGCCGCTTGTGTCTGCTTTTCGAGAGTCGTTGCAAAGACAAGAAAGAGACAAGAAAGAAATCCCGTCGAAAAAAAAAAAAAAAAAAAAAAAAAAGGGAGGGTTAGGGGGACCCGAAAAAATTGACAATGGGATGTATCCCTTTCGAATATTGAACAACGTTCTGACTCGCCTTCTCTACCTACCATAAAATTTGAGACAGGGAATTGATTTTCATCCGGGGCCTGAACCCGTATGCCGTCTTCTACTGGAAAAAGTAGGGCCCTTCCTTGGACTCCAATTCGCGCCGAAGGGTCGCAATGTTGGTGCAGATAGATGTGACGTTCGTTGTCAAAACCAACATTTAAAATAATCCGTCAAAAGTAAAAGTAATCGTCACCTTCCCCCTAGCCAGCCACCAATTCAATGCCACCAACTTCCCCCCTCACACACACACAGATGCACGCTAACAAACAGGAGGGGGAAAAATATCGGTTTTTAGCACGAACACGGAAGTAGTTGTCCACAGCAAACAAGCAGGGATGGTAGCCCGAAGCCTGTTTCAGATTGTAGCAGTTACGACCGGTTCGGGAAAACGATGCTGACTGCAGAGACAGGAGGCTGGTTATTGGCAGCTAATAGAGCCACTCGGTACGGGGGTGCTCAGGCGGGGAGGTTGTTATATACGTAGACGGAAGGATTGAAGCATCCCGCTGAACCGTGGGTAATTAGCTTGCAAAGGCTATGTATGTAATCAACAAACGGGCTATACCGATATGCCAATGCATGAAGAGTTTAATTCGTAGTAAAGACAACTGGGTGGTACACCCAGGGCAAAAAACTTCTATAGTCGTTGTTGTATATTTGGAGTTCTTGATGTTGGTTGAAGTTGTCCGCGCCCTTGCCGTTTCAAATCATGAGGCTGAAGTTATTATAAGCGCGCGCCAAAATTGACCAATAATATATAATCTGCATCTATAACAGGGGGGGACCCTAGCACTTCTTATAAGCCGGTGGATAAATTCAATAACTTTGGGGGCCGAACCCCATGAACAAATAGGGATGGCGATAAATGAAAGCAAAATGAGGGCCTGGACTCTGGACTTGGGTGAACCAGAACTTTACCCGCGCCCAATTAATTGGGTGACGGTTCCACTGGTTGGGGCATTGGAGAAGAGGCCTCGAAGAAACCCAGTCAAGCTGGAGGGGGTGAAAGCTTGAATGCAACGAGAGAAACAGCCCTGGAAGGATCAGAATTGTCAAAATCCACCTCGGTTATGAGTTATAACCAAGCTTGCGGCGGGTAGGGATAGCGGAAGTTGGCAACGTAGTCGAAGAAGGTTTTCGCAGTTCTATGGTCTGGGCCGGTATATGCTTGGAATGACGTGCATCATAGTTAACTCAAGAGCGGCAAGGTTTGTGCTGTTCGTCGGAGAGGGCACTCCAAAAGCTAAAACTAAATATACTGTGTATGCAGGTGTCTCGTAGCTAAACAGCTCCGTTAACTTCTTTTCCTCTTTTCTCTACTTGCCCTTCTTCTTCATGCTTCTCTCTGACCCTTATACCTCTTGTTTTCTGCTCAATGGTCTTGAGAGCAGAATCTCTTTCTTTTTTGTCCCTTCCAACCAACGTCCATTCGTCTCCTCCATATCCACATTTGCCTCAGGTCTATATATAGCTGTCGCTTCTTAGCTGAACTCCTGAAGGCTGCCTCCTGCCGCACGCTGCCCTCCGTCAGTTCGCTCGACCTCTACCTGCCAGGGTATCTAGCTATCTTGAAAAGAAATACATCCATCGATTCTATAACCATCTCTCTCTCTGTGTCGCTTTCTCTTTCTCTCTCTGGCTCTCCCTCCCCCCTCCAGTTTCTCAAAATCTCTCACTCGGTCTCTAAACTGGCTCAGACGAAAGCCAGGTTGTCCTCCAAACGGACTGGTGTTGCAATATGCAAACTTCACGAACAAGCGCGACGACGAAAACCACGTACCATCCCGCCTCTTGAGTGATGCATAAGTAAATAATAACGATAAGGATTCAAAGGAAGGAAGCGAAAGAAGAAGCTTGAAGAAGAGGAGGAGAAAAGGAGGAAGAATTGTCTTTTGGGATTATATATTGTTTTTCTTTCTTTTTTTAAAAAAAATTATTTTCTGTCGTTGTGTGAGCTGAGTGATACGAAGCAGGTGAGCCCGACATACAATTAAACAATAATTATATGCGCAGTGCTCCACACATAGGCATAGATTCCCAAGGGGGGGAGCTTTGGACCCTTGGGCGTGGGTTAAGTTCTTTAAAGGCTATCCTTAAGGTGCAGCAAACTGTCCCCC